GTCCCTCAGATATCCTGCTAAGACGGAAATAAGCAAGTTATCCAGCACAGCCTACAAGAAGGAAAAAATCCATGAGGTGCCTGCTGCGTGGGTTTCTAGGTGGGAAAGAGAAGTGGGTGAGAGAGGGATTTACACCTTAAAAAGAAGCACTAACATCCTTCCCATCTTTTGTACTCTCTAAGCTGAAGTCCCTTTTTTCCTTGTCAATCTTGCTTCCAGAAGCTCAAAGTGCATTGCCTCCAACAAAGAAGTTCAACTCCTCTTCCAAGAAGATGACAAGAGCCTGGTGCAGTGCCTCACACATAAGGATGGACAAGTGGTCACTGCAGCTATTCTATGTTCAGCTAACTTTTATTGAGAAGGATGAAAGCAATAAAATCCTGCCTTACAAACACTAGGTGACACAATTATGGCCCAAACAACAACCAAAAAAAACCCCAGAATTCAAAAGGCTTAAGCCACACTTTAAATTATCTGTGAGGTTTTTGGTTTGTTTTTTTTTAATTAATCAGGCTTCCGGCATTTTGACCAAAGCCTTCTGCCAGCTTCTTCTTCTTTTTTTTTAATTTACTATTAATTTCAATGAAAATTTACAGAGACTTTGGATTTCCATTCTACCTGTGGATCTTCATAATAACTAATTTATTTTCTTTTTATTGTGATTTGAATAAGTTTACAAATCAAACTGTTTTCATCCAATCATTACTACACATTTTGCTTTATACTATTAATTAAAATTAAGTAATTATTGTGTCTAGTCAACCCCTTATTATATATTGTTTTTATTTTCATTCAACTTACTGTCGAGTCATTAATTTTTACTCCCTTCTTCCTCCCTATATTCCAGAATGATTCTACCCATGTATAAACTTTTCCTTAGCTTTTCATAGTAATAAGTCTCATAAAATAATTGGGAGCTCTGATGGCCTAGGTGCAAGAGGTTGCGCTGCAATCCTGAAGGAATGTGGTTCGAGGCCACCAGCTGATATGTGGGAGAAGGATAGGCAATCTCCTCCTGTGCCATGAACTGTCTCTGAAAACCTGCCGGAGGATCAGTTATGGATCAGTTCTGACTCTATGGTACACAACAACAACAACATATTATAATTGTCCTTTCGTGGCTGAATTATATTACTCAGCAGAATTTTCCCTGGATTCTTCCATGTTAAGCAGTGTTTCATCAATTCTGTATTCTATATTGTTCTTTAGTGTTACATAATACTCCACTGAGTGAATGTACCATAGCTTATTTGTTCATCTAATGATGGACTTTTTGGTTGTTTCCATCTCTTTGCTATTATAAATAATACTGCAATAAAAGTAAGTGTGAACATATCAGTTCGTGTTGCATCTCTTACTTCTTTAAAATTTATATACTTAGTAGTGGGATAGGGAGCTCTGGGGGCTTAGTGGTAAGAAGATGCACTACAATCCAGAAGGCTTGCAGTTCTACTCTACCAGATGCTCTGCGGGAGAAGGATGGGCAATTTCCTCCCAGGCAATTCACTGCCTCTGAAAACCTGTTGGAGGGTCAGCTATGATTTGTTTCTGACTCTCTAGCACACAACAACAACAGCAGTGGGATGGCTAGGTCAAATGGTACCTTTCAAAAAACACCAGCCTGTCTTTCATAATGATTACATTATTTTACATTCCTATTAGCAGTGTAAGAGATTTACAATCTCCCTACACAATCTCACTAGCATTTGCTTGCTAATGTTGTTGAGATAAAACGGTATTTCACTGTTCTTCTGAGAGCAAGGGAATACTATACATTTAAAATCAAGAAAGGTATGCAACAGGGCTGTATCCTTTTTCCATCCTTATTCAATCTGTGTGCTGACCAAATCATTTGAGAAGCTGGACTTATGAAGAAGATTGAGACATCAGGATCAGAAGACTCGTCAACAGCATATGATACAACCTTACTTACTAAAAATAAGGAAGACTTGAAATGCTTATTGCAAAAGATCAAAGACAATCAAAGACAGCCTTCAATACAGATTACATGTCAACATCAAAAAGACAAAAATCCTCACCACTGGGCTGATAGGCAGCATCACAACATTGTTGTTATGTCCTGTTGAATGTGACTCATAGCCACCCTCTGCACAACAGCTCTGAAGCCTGCCCTGTCCTGAGTCAATCTCATCACCTACAAAACACCTACCCTCATTACCCCAGTTACTGTATCAGTTTATCTCATCCAGGTCTTCCTTTCCTGCATTCTATCTCCACCCTTCCAAGGATAATCTCCTTTTCCCAGAACTGGTCCCTCCTGGCAACATGCCCAAAGTATCTGAGATGGAATTTCAAGATCCTTGCCTCCAATGAGCAGCTCAGTTTCACCTTCTCCAGGTAGAAGAGATATGGTATGATCAATATTCTTCTCCAGCACCACAACTCAAAGCATCAATTCTTTTTATCATCCTTAGTCACTGATGCATGGCAGGTAATTGCAAAGATCATTGTCAACGACTTAATCTTGCTTGAATCCACAATCAGCACCCTTGGTACCAGCAGTCAAGAAACCAAAAGACATAGTGCACTGGAAGTCTACTGTCAAAGGAACTTCTTTAAGTACTAAGGAATGATGTCAGCTTGAAGACTAAGCAGTGATCCTGATTCAAACCATGGTCTTTGCAGTCACTTCCTATGCATGTGAAACTTGGACTGTGAATGCCAGTAACAGAAGAAAAATCGATGCTTTTTGAGTTATGATGTTGGAGAATTATACTGAATATTCCATGGACCTCCAGAAGAACAAACAAGCGTGACTTGAAGAAAGTGCAGCCAGATTGCTCCTAAAAGCAAAGACGGTGAAGCTTCATCTCACACACTTGGGATATGTTGTTAGGAGGGGCTAGTCCTTGGAAAAGGGCTAACATGATGGGGAAGGTAAAAGGTCAAAGAGAAGAAAACTCTCGATGAGATGGCTTGACACAGTGACTACCACAATGGGTTTAAGCATGTCAGAAATGATAAGGAAAGCATAGGACAGGATAGGGTTGGGATCCACTGTTCATAGGGGTGCTATGAGTTGTACTCCACTTGAAGGCACCGAGCAGCAATAGCTAATGATCTTTTTACATCTCCCTAAAAGTTAAGGATGTTGAGTACTTCTTCACGTGTTTGTTGGCTGTCTGAATGTCTTGTTTAGTCCTATCTTCTGTCAATTTTGTAATTAGGTTGCTATGAGACTTTCGCCACTCAACATTCACCGAACAACAACAACTGGGTTGTTGTCTTTTTCTACATATTTAAGAGATGAGTCCTTGTCAGATGTGCCATGCTGAGTATTTTTTCAAGTCTGCAGGTTTTCTTTTCCTTATTCTTTTGGAGAAGTCTTTTGATGTCCACGGGAATCTAATTCCTAGGAGGTCCCAACAGTGTAACTTATCTTCTGCTGATTTTTTGCCTTATTTGATAATCTATTTATAATACAGGTTGTTGCTGTTGTTAGGTGCCATCCGGTTGACTATGACTCACAGCAACCCTATGAACAGCAGATCTGAATCATTTCTTACCCTGCACCATCCTCATCCTCTCTGTTATGCCCCCCACTGTTACACAGTCCATTGTGTCCATCCAGCTTGTTGGGTCTTCCTCCCTTTCTCTGACCTTCCACCTTTCCAACCATGAAGCCTTTTTCAAAAGATCAGTATCTCTTGACAATATGTCCAAAGTATGTGAGACAAAGTTTCATCATCCTTGCCTCTAAGGAGCACTCTGGCTACCTTTCCTCCAAGACAGACTTGTTTGTTCTTTTGGCGTTCAGTACAATTCTCCAACACCACAGCACGAAGGCATGGATTCTTCTTTTGTCATCCTTATTCTCCATCCCACCTTCAGATGCATCACAAGTAACTAAAAAGACCAATACTTGGATCAGGAGGTCTTTGGCATCAGATTTTCCCAGTGTAATACATCTTCTGAGTTTTTTACAGTTGCTACCATGGGTGTTACCATGGGTGTTGATGCAAGTAAAATGAAATCACCAACAATGTCAATCTTTTCTCCATTTGTTACAATGTTGCCTACTGGTCCAGTGGTGAGAATTCTTGTTTTCTTAATGTTGAGACATAATCCATATTGAAGGCTATTGTCTTTGATCTTTTACAGCAAATGTTTCAAGTCCTTTTCACTTGAGCAAGTAAGGGTGTGTCATCTGCATAACCTAGGTTGTTGAGGGCTCTGAAACTTGCCTCTAATTTTTCTTTGATGATCTTCATAGATTTTAGAATGAAAGGTCTTTAAACTATCTTAAGCTACTTTTTGTGTATGTGTTTGTAAAGTATGGCTCTTATTTCAATTTTCTACAAATTGATACCCACAAGTACCATTTGTTAAGGAGGCTGTATTTTCCTCATTTAATGGATTTGATCTCTTTGTCAAAAGTCCAAAGGTAGATGGGTTTACTGCTGGTTCTCCGTTCTACCCCTCGGGCCTATTTATTTATTGCTATACTGACACCACACTGCTTTGCCTAGGACAGTTGTGTTGTAGGTTTGCTATGTTTTGGTTTTGGTAGATTTTTTCCCTTCCCCTTGTACAGTAGGTTTTGAGATCAGAAAATATAAAACTTCCTACTTGTGCTTTTCTTCTTGTTCGGTAGTGCTTTGCTTAACCAGGGTCTCTTTCTCTTCCATACAAAGTTGGTGACTATTTTTTATATCTAATTAAAAAATGATGAAAGAGTCTGGGATGGCACGAAAGTATCTCTTAGACTGAATTTAGTAGAATTGACATTTTCACAATGCTAAGTTCTGAGGCGTTTTTATATGTAAATTCTGAAAAATCAACATAAGCAGCATTCATACTAGTGTAATGGTTCTATTACAACTTTATTAGCTAGAAGACATTTTACATCTTGGAATTTAAACTGTTTTTTAAAATCACAAACAACCCCAAAGGTAAGGAGTTAGCAGAATCATCATTCCTAAGTTTCAAAGCTAGAAAAGCTCCACTCGGCCTGTATCAAGGGACAGTAGTATACTCACTCTCTGGCTGGAAGACGAAATTATACACCCAGATGACCAGCAGGGTCCACAGGACGCTCCACGCAATTAGCTGCCAGGGCTCATACTGGGTGCAGTGCCCGTTTATATAATTCTTGGCTTTCCTGGAGTATACTTCCAAAATCTCAAAGTAGGGCTCAAAGGCCTTCTAGAAATAACAAAAGAAAAATAAGCAAGTCACATTCAGGAAGAGAAAGAAATTATTTTTCTTTCTTTCTACTCTCATTTTCCAAGGTCAAGGCCATACAAGATCAGACCTACCCAGGAATAATCTTATCCACTAGATCCCTCTGGCTTCTGCACGCTAGCCTGTCAAAGCTCTGTGGACTTTGACAAGATTTGTAATCTTTTGCCTATTCTGTAAAGTAAGAAGGTTGAGCTGCACCATCATTTCAGCTCTCAAACTCTTCGTACTTTCAGTATCCACTGCCTCACTTTTAATGCAAACTAGTCTTTCTCAGCATGAATGTTTCTCTCCCTCACTTATTCTGAATCTTTCCCTTCCTAAGACCTAAAGGCCTCTTGTCTATAAAGAGCTGGATGGTAAGTATATTTAGGTTTGATAAGCCATTCACCTTAGTGAATGTCCACAACATGAAACCATCATCTTTTGAGTTTTGGTTGCCTTTTACTTTTACTAACACAATCTTTAACTCATGAGCCAATACACCAACAAAGAGGTGATGATTAGAAGCACTTACTGAAAAGGCCACATTTTTTTTTTTGCTATTCTTTGCTTTAATACAGGATCCATCTGACATCAAGTCAATTGATATTTGACAAGGAAACAAAATCCATTAAATGATGCTAGCAAAATTGAGTATCTACCTGCAGAAAATGAAAACATAATTCATACCCCTACACACACACACACACACACACACACACACACACACACACACTAAATTTAAAAAATCCCTCCTTCTCTAGAAACAAACATGAAAATCCTGCCCTTTTGTTAGTCCAACTCAAAACTCCATTTTCCCTAACAAACCTCCTATTCTGCATCAAATAAAAGCATAGATTCTGCCCTGCCATTCCTACTCAGTAGGAATGAAAAGGCCACATTTGACTATAAGACTCATCAAGCTATTTGTATCCCTCACAATACCTTGTGTAAGAAGAACAAGAACGAGGGGGGAAATATCTTTAAACCTACAAACTAACCAGAATATTCCATGCATGAGAATGAATCTTTCCTTTCCTTAAGACTTTCTTGTGCCTCTAAACAGACCTTATCACAACTTGCTTTGCAGTCTGTTCATCTGTTTCTTAACTCCTTGACTGTCTGGAGCTCCTGGAGGGCAGGTCCTATTTGAATGCCCTGAATAAAGTCAGCTCATGTGGTAGCTTGTTACTCAGGCACTTGATGTAAGGCACTCTTCCTGTCAGGCACCATGAAGCAACTACGACTCTCAGCAACTCACTGCGCAGGTCTGAACCTTGCCTGCCCTACCCTGCACCATCCTCACTGTCTCTGATCTCATTCGCGGCAGCCCTTGTTACAGTCACTGTGCCAATCCATCAGGAAGGGGTCTTCTTCTCTTTTCCTGACCCTACCTTTCCCAGCTGATGTCTTTTTCCAAGGACTGGCCATTCCTGACAACATGCCCAAAGTGTGTGAGACGAAGTTTCACCATCCCTACCTCTAAGGAGCACCCTGGTTATACTTCCTCCAAGACGGACATGTTTGTTCTTTTAGTAGTCCATGGGCCACTCAAAATTCTTGTAAGTCCCTTACCCTAACCCTTATCTACCGGGAGAGGTGCATGTGTGTAAGTATGCATGTGCACGCTTGTGTAGATATGCACATGTGTGCATGCATCTTCACACACATGAATGCATACATAAACAAATAACTGAAATCTCCAGGGTAAATGCTAGATGAAATGATGTAAGTGAAACGCAAAGACAGACTACTAGGGAGGCCTATCTAACTGTACCTGTGAGGAAATGCGGGGTGATGACAGACGATAAAATTTAATCTAGCTAAAACAATTTTTAAAAGTTCTCAAGGAAGAAATAATCAGAAGTAAAATCAGGAAAAGAAAATAGCTGCACACCTGGAAAAAAAAGATAAAGTCTGGTACACTCAGTGAATGGAAACAAGTTCTAGGAGGTTACCATGGCAGCTATGTGCAGGCAGGGACCACAGCCACTCCCCACAAAGCTTAGTGCCAACAGAGAACAGAGTGCCTGACACATGATTTGTGCATAATAAACTTGGACATGGTGACAGTGACCAAGTAAACAGTGGGCATCGCAATCAGAAACCTGAGACTAATGACCAAAAAAAAAAAAAAAAAAGGGTACTGAAACACATTTTAAAAAGCAGGGAGATGGAAAGCAATCTTTTGTAAAGTAATTTATCAGTATCTATTAATATTTTAAATGTAGAGTGGATTCGTATTGGCCAAGAAATTGCATGTTGGTATCTACATATCTGAATGTGTGTACAAAATGACACGTTCATTTAGCTGTTCCTTACTCTGGTGCCCTACCTCCCACATCCTGGTGGCGCAGGCTATATATAGGGCACTGTGCTGCTAACTTAAGGGTGGCATCTCTCTGAAGGTTCAACTCTACTGGCAACTCCATGGGAGACAGATGGGCAATCTCCTCCTGTGTGATTAACAGCCTCCAAAAACCCCCTAGATGCTCAACTATAAATTGGTTCCCACTCAGTGATGATAAGTATAGTAGAATGAGTATAAAATGACAAAAAAAAATATAAATGTCCATCAGTAGGGAAAATGTTAAATAAATGACAGTAAACATGTTTTATGTTCTCATAAAACATGTATCATTAAAAAGAAGACTGAGCCACATCAACTACATGGAAAATTTCTAAGGCAAGACACTGAGTTTAAAGGAAGGAAGTAAAGAACAATAACAAAACAGAAGCATAAATTGTTATTAAACAAGAGAGGGGTTTGGGGCTTGTAATTTTTTTTTTTAAGATAATTTGAAGTGGAAAGAACATAAAGTTTAAAGACAAAATTTTTAGTTAGGAAAATTGTTGAGTCAGTCCAGGAGAGAAATAAAGGAGGTTTAACCTTACCAAACATAACTTGAGATATTAAAAAGAATATAAATATAAAAAGGAGTCCTGATTATTCAGCACTTAAGTCCACGGGGGAGAAGACCTGACAACCCACTTCTGTTGTTGTGTGTCACAGTGGATTGTGACTCACAACACAGAAACTTCCATGAGGTTGTTCTACTCTGTCCTGGAAAGGCATGGTCAGTCATAACTGACTTGACATCACACAACAACTGTACAGATTTGAAAGAAAATTTTGGAATTAACACAAGCAGGTGTTGACTGTTATAAGAAGGACTGCTTTAATAAAAAAGCCAGGTAATTTATTTGAAAAAAACAGGTAAGTAGTGTCACAAGTAGAAAAGATGAAAAAAGTGGAAGAGCTTTGGAGAAAAACATAAATGATATTTGTTTGCATTATATTTCTTTTGGATAGTCACATGCAAAATTCAGGCAGGAGCATGAAAATTTAGGAGGACAGGTGTTCAAGAAATGTTTGTTGAAAACATTTATACCCTTAGTAATCATGCCGAGATATATATGGTAATTAACATTAGGCAAGCAGTGGGTTCCCCCGAGGGCCATCCATGGAAACACAGCTTATCCATAATCCCACCGTAGCTTTTGGTCGCCATTCCCAAGAGCTCACTGTTGCTATCAACAACCTCAACCCTGCAGAGTAGCAGCAGTGCTGGTCAAGATGGAGGAAAGATCATCAAAAGCATTTCATTATTTCCACCATCACAAAGAACCTTCTCCTTGTAAAAAGCCACAGAGTTGAATATTACATAAAAAAGAATGGGATTGTTGGTGAGCTCTGGTGGCCTAGTGGCAAGAAGGTGTACTGCAATATCAGAGGTGCACAGTTCAAATCCACCAGATTCTCTGCTGGAGAAGGAGGAACAATCTCCTCTTGTATCAGTCATATCTGACTTGATAGTACACACACACACACACACACACACACAATGATAAAATTTAAAAAAAAAAAGAATGGAATTGTCAGAAGGAAAACTGAACAGATGAGTTTTTTCTCTGAAGTTCTTGTTGTCAAAGAGTTGATTCTGACTCAGGAATCCTATAGGATGGGATGGAACAACTCCAAAGTTTCTTCAAATGGTATTGGTTACTGATACACCCACCAAAAAAGGTTATCAACATCAAAAGGGAACTGTAATATTTATCAACTCTTCACAGAACTGAACAACAACAAAAAACCAATAAAGAATCAGTAAATAGAAATTCATTTGATTTTTTAAAAGTCTTATTATTAAGACATTCCTTCCTCACTGATACTTGTAAAAGTACATTAAGTAAGATTATATTTTCTTGGTAATTGCCATGATAAGAAGATAATGGGAGTCCCTGAACACAAAAAACTTTAGAAGGAAGTTTCTTTTCATATTCTCTTATTATTAAGGACAAAAATGATACTGGATTTAATAGATCCTAGCAAGCTTTTTTAGTAGACATTCAGGGCCACAGAAATTAAGCCTTCTGGTTTCTCCAGCACCAGGTTACTGCAAACAACCTCAGCTCATTCCCTGCAGATAAAACACCACACAGCACTGCCAACCCACTGCATTATTGGGCTCTGTGGGGTAATGCATCTTATCTCCTTGGGAAAAAAGGATAAGGCAGGCCCTTGGGGGCCTTAAAAAACAGAGCAAACCCCAGGTCGGGCTCTGATGCAACATCCAACCCTTGAGAAGCATAGACTCTAAGAGCTGAACGGAACCCCAGAGAGCAAGCCTAGCATTCTCCCTCTACAAGCAGAGGGTCCCAAGTCAAATGGTCAAGTCTAACCTTAAGATGAGAAACTATGCCTTTTGACTTTCAAGTCTAGATACTCCATGTCCATTGGCAGAGAAGCAGTTAACACATAATAGTCTTTGGGCATCTTAAGAGCATTCTTTTCACAGTCTTTATGTTCTTGGCAGACTCTACCCTAGCTACACAGTGCACTTCATAACAAACAAAAACGATGCAGCTAGGTCATAACCACAGAAAAACACTGAGTTGGAAATGTCACAAGAACTTATATAATTATATTAACGAACTTAAATCTTTTTGCTTAAGCAATACATATTTTTATCCATACACGC